TCCTAGGGAAAAGGAGATCTTAACCACGATGTTCTATTGCCTTGTTTGAAACATTTGGCTATCGAGGAATGACAAAATATTCAAACATATTGGTGTAAATCCTACAAAAATTGTTGATAATATAATTTTGCTCTCGTACATATGGTGTAAGCATCGAGGTGGCACTAGTTGTGGTAATTAGGTTGAGTGGAGCGTTTCACCTTTCACTCATCTTTCAACTTAATTCTCTTGTTTGTTATTTTTGTCCATGTTTCATTTTTGTTTTTGTACTTGGTCTTACTTTAGCTTCTTGCTATGAGAGTGCCCCCTTTTAATGATATTTGCTTTTTAAAAAAAAAGATAGTCCTTTGAGAAAAGGGTTATTGTCACTGTAGCCCAACAATGTTTCGTATATTGGTTTAAATGGTCCCTCGTGATTTTTTTTCTTTTTTTTCGTTTAAAGGGTACGAACTTGTGTTTTACCGGTTAATTCCATACCTTTACCTACTGCCAACTAAGCTGGTGAGTTAACAATGACTCAGTGGTGAGTCAACTCATCGTTGCCACATAAGCCAAAAGTCTAAGCACAAAACCGAACTTCGTCTTCTTCATCAGAGAGAAAAGCAAGAATACCCAAACCTTTGGTTCCTTTGTGTTCTTCATCAGAGAAAAAAGCAACGCACAAAATCAAGAACCCCAAAGACACCTGACTAACACAACCTTCATACCCATTAATCCAAACCCAACACCAAAATCCCCAAAGACACATGCTTTCCCCTTACCTGATATCCTGATTACAACTTCAACTCATCACCATAAAACCACTTGATATAGAACAATCGTTACCAACCCTTTCTATATAACCACTTAATAAACAACCATCATCACCAACCGTTGCATGTGCTAAAAATAAAAGAAACAAACAGAAGGAGAACACCAAATACATAGAGGCGATTCAGCGAGAAAAGGGAGGGGGTCTGCAATTCAGCTTAACATGATCGGATTCCGAGTCATGTTATGGCAAGAAAGGGGAAACTACCCTCTTGAAACTTCTCGTCTCTCCCGCGGTGAGCACCAGAGCATCGAAAACTTCCACTGGCAACATTGTCGGGGGTTCCGACGGCTTGAGCTACTTCGATACCCAATCGAATGTTATCATGAGGTTTGTGACCCAATCTAGGGTTAGAGCACCACCAGACGGCCATGTAATGGGGATCTGAGGACGATTTTAAGAAGGATCAGGGCAGGGAGAAGGTTTTTTGTTGTCGTCAGATAAGGAGGGGGAGGAGGCAGAGCCAGAGGCACATGCGAGGGAAGCGGAAGAGAAGAGGTCTTCGGAGGAGGATGACAGCGATGGTGGTTCATCGACGACGGATTCTAGCGTCGCAAGTGGTAATGATTCAGTAAAATCTGGTTGTGATAACATTTAGTCGTCGATGATCGCCGATTAACAAACGAAATTGTGTAAAGCAAGTGAAATTGTTGGATGCTCCGATCATAAACATTAGATGCCAAAATTAATTAAAAAAACAAAGAGAATGGATTGTGATGTGTTTGTGTGGTGTGTCAGAGCCTCGTCAACAATCCAAATTGATGATTAGGATGGGGTAAGCGGGTGACTCTTTCAAATTTTTCATAATGACATTTTAAAACCTAAAAACACAAGTTTATACCCTTTAAACGCAAAAAAAAAAAATAAAAAAAAAATTCACGAGTAACCATTTAAACCAATATGCGAAACATTGTGAGTTATATTAACAATAACCCTTGAGAAAAAAAAATTGTTATTTAACACAAGACGATTAAATTTCTTTCAAATTTTACCGGCCAAACGAATAAAAGATTAACATCATATAAATCCAAATTTATCAAAATCCAATTTCTTGCGTATTCAAAATCCCACAAAACAATCAGATACCCCAAACATATTTGTTTACTTCCGGCAAGATAATTTAATATGTAATATTATTTCGACAAAAGGTGAAAAGGATAAAGATATATTGTTCTTTATTATCTAATTATCAACGTTGGAAATGTAACGATTCCTGATTTTTTTTAGTGAAATAATAAGATTTAGGAATTAAATTATGATTCTAGTGTTTTAAACGTATCTATCTTTATATTGAAAAGTGATTAGACCTTTTTTTCTCTGTCTTTATCTAAAACTCTAAAAGTCTAATTTTAATGTTACACGTAGATTTAAATATATTATTAGTTTGCTACAAATTATTTATCAATTAAAAGGTTGCGGATTAAATATGTTTTATAAAGATATAATAGCTTTTTTCATTAATCCATCGCAAGAATAACTCAAATCAACCCTTAAACGAGTATACAATTTTGTTTGCTACATTATGTATTTATTTATTGGATAATCTCCAAAACACTCAAAATTGAAGACGTTAGAATACCAAATGGCCAACTCTTGCGGTCTTGCCATACTAGGTCTAGTGTCAGGTATTAACTGGAAAATTAGTTTTTAATAATTGATAAAAAATAGTTTATAAGCTAAATTGTTATGTAAAATGATATAAATAAACATTTAGATATATAACTAAAAAAATACAATTAAAGACATATTTGAAATATTTAAGAAAAAAAACTCTATAAACTTATCAAAAGCTATCTCAAAATAACTTATTTATAAAATAGTTCATAAACTAAAATAAGTTATTTTGTGGTTGACTAAATAATAAATTATAATAAACTAACTTATTTTTACCGAACATGGTCTAAATAATCACTCATTTTGTAAACCAATAAATCTTGCGAAATTATTAAACTTGCCATGAATTTCACAAATTTATCTTTTACGAGATTTTTGGTATGATGCAAAATATTTATTAAAGTTTCACAAAAATTCTTTAAGCCCCACAACAATACATATATAGTTTTGCTTATTTATTTATTTAATTTTTTGCAAAATAATTAGCCTATTTTGTGATGAAATCATTCAAAAAGCAATTTCAAATTATTACAAAATTCATTTTCTAAAATAAATATTTGTTTTGTCATAGTTACTAAAAATGATTATTTCGCATTTAAACCTCCAATCTTTGATGATTTCAATGATAATGTCTAATTGTTGGTGATTTGTTATCATCAATATTATTTAAGTGTAATATGATTAAATTTGTTGACAAAAAAATGATCTTGATAAATATTAAAAAAATTAGGATGATGCAGAGTGGAAACTTGTTTATGTTTTCAAGATTCAAAATACACCATTTCGCCTCTGAACGACAAGGGGTTCGGGGACAACGCCCCTGAGAGTGGGGTCCAAAGGGCAGATCCCCTAGCTGTTTTTTCCAACAAAAAACTATATACCCGTTTTTGATGGTTTGGTGACAGTTCGAAACTGATAGTTTTCAAACTGGAAAACTATATACCCGTTTTTGGTCGTTTTCTGTTACATTTCTTAAGAATATTTTCCACTAACATTCTCTCGATTCGAAATCCTTGAATTTTATCCAATTGGATGTTTGATCTGTATCATCGAAATACTTCAAATCGATAGTGAATCCACGGCTTTCAAATAATCCAAACAATCTTTTCATCCCCGGTTTCTAATGCTAATTTTATTAAATTTAACTAAAAGCGGTAGATTGGAGAATGATTGAAAACCCACGGAGTTGTACATACATAAATAAATAGAGTAATGAAATAATTAAAAACTAGAGGTAAATGATTAAAGGTCTCTTTTATATAATGGAATGAAAACATAACTAAATGAATAAATAACATTATGAAATAAACAAAATAATATAATCGGTGATATTGTTTTCTTACGCATGAATAGAAACTAAATAAACTAGATTGATAAATAAAGAGAAAATATTATTCTACAGAAATGAACTTCACTACGTAAAGGTATATGTTAAGCAAATACTAAATAGCATATAAGCATATTTCATTTTGTTTAAAATACTAATGTTAAATGCATTTTAGATAATCTTAAAAAAAACTATATATCATTTAATAAATTGTTTCTGTGAGCAATAATATTATGTGGGCGCAAGGAGAGCCAGTCGTTTTTCACCCAACTCCTTCAGATCTCGATAAGAGAAGCGCTGACCGTTGACCATATTCATATGTATCTTACATAAATGCATCTTCTTCTTTCTATAGGATAAGCTATATGTAGAAACCCAAATCCAAATTGGGTTCCAAAAGTCCAAACCTTTCCATCTATAAATACCAATAATAACACTCACATTCCCATAATCCACTTTAAAATGAAGTCAACTATCTTGATTCCACTTTCATTCATCCTGATCCTGTTTCTCTTCTCCGCCGATTCCGCCCCTGATTCCGTCCTCGACACCACCACCGGAAAAAACCTCCGAACAGGAATCAACTACCATGTCATGCCGGCAGCTAGAGACGGAAAGGGCGGCGGAATCACCCTTACCAACCACACCTGCCCTTCCGGCATTACCCAACTCCGCACCCACAATTACGGATTGCCATTGACTTTCTCTCCAGTCAACCCGAAGAAAGGCGTAATCCGCCTTTCCACAGACGTCAACATCAAGTTCCTGGGTCCCACTCCCACCCGTTGCAATGAGTCAAATGTATGGAAGCTGAAATACGATGAATCTGTAAAGCAGTTTTTTGTGATGGTGGGAGGTGTGGAAGGAAACCCGGGACGTCCAACACTCGATAACTGGTTTAAGATTGAGAAAACTGAGAATGGTTATAAGTTTGTTTTCTGTCCCACTGTGTGTAACTTCTGTAAGGTGATTTGCAGAGATGTAGGAATATTTTCAGATGGTAATGGAATGAGACGATTGGCACTCAGTGATGTTCCTTTTTCGGTGATTTTCATGCGTTAAAAAATTATGTATGATTTCATTGTACTTAACTTTGTGTTATATCTTATTATAACTGTTTACTCAAATAAAGTTAATGACATACGTATACCCAACATATATATACACTTTAAAGTTTTTTGGTCCTAATTAAGCAAATACACATATGACATATGTGAAGTATAATGCACACCAAACACATTTGTCATCATGTGTAACAAAACAGGCCTTATGGTATCACATCACAGCATATTCTAAGATGTAGTATGAAACAATCAGTTTGCTTTATATCCACTCGTAATCATAAAACATAAATAAAATACAAGGAAAAAGAAAAAAGGACTATAATAGAGTTTTTCATTTCAATAACAACTAACTAGACTAACCGAGACCTGTACCAGCTTCTTGCCTTGGTGCATCCGCTTTTATACGTGGAGGCCTAACAATTCGGTCAATCAGTCCATAATCCAAAGCTTCTTGAGCATTGAACCGCTTAATCCTACTTAAGTCCTTGTGAACCTGCATGTTATTATTATGGTTTTAGAGTCAAATGACCATTTTGCCCTTGTAAGAATGTGATACTAATACTATACCTGTTCCACAGGTTGGCCTGTCTTTTGAGCTAACTCCTTGAAAAGATAATCTCTGACCCTTAGAAGCTCGTTGGCCTCATTTTGAATATCATCAGCCTGACCACGAGCAGCGCCCGCTGGCGACTCTAAAGCGATTCTCGAAAGTGGCATTGCAAACCGTTGACCCTTTACAGTTATCATCACAACAATGGAAAAGATAAATATCATACTACTTCATTGCATTTTTGCATTCGTTTACCAAAAAAAAAATGTAAAATCACCTTTTCGCCAGCAGCAAGAAGAAAGCCAGCAAGATTATAAGCATATCCGACACAGTGGGTGCCAATTGGGCTTTGCAAGCTTTGCATTGTGTCATAAATGGCCATGCTTGGAGTTAGCTGCAAAAAGATGGAAAGTCAAAGCATATGAACATCTAAGCAACAGTATTTAATTATAAAATTCAATTACAATGAGGGAAAAAAACTCACATCTCCACCAGGGCCATTGATGTACATATACATTCTTTTGGAATTGTCAACACTGTCAAGGTACAACATTGTTGCAAGAATTTGGTTACTGAATTCTTCATCTATGTTTTGCCCTATAAAGATGACACGTTCACGATACTGCAAAGAAATTGAATTAAAATATCTATCAGCTAAGTTTTGGGGATTTTTACAAAATAAAATTTAGAAAGAAAAGTTAAAGGAGTTACAAGAGCATTCCACAAATCAACCCACTGCCAGGTTCCTTCACCAGGAACCCTGTAGGGCACTCTTGGAGTCCCTATTGGCATCATGGTGATGCGTCCCCTTGCTGGCTTTATGCCAATCCTGAAAATGGAGGTAAACAGTTATGGAAATTGAAGGTGTATTGTATTATATGTGTAGGTCATAACACTTGCTTGAAATTGTTCATACATAATACTGATACTAGGGTTAGCAGATCTAGCCGTTTTCTACAAATTTTGATGTTGAATTCCATGTGTAAGCGCACCTTTTGGGACCAATTTCATTAGGAATGTGGCTTACAATGATGTTATACAATCGGAACACATTAAGATAAAACATTGATTCAAACTTAAGAATAGAGTACAGGATTTGGTATATACCTGGGCTCAATACTTTTATGAATTTTCTTGTGCAATTCGGCACTCAGATTAGGTCTCGAAATTCCATAAGAATCTGTTTAGCGCAGAAAAGGAAAATAAACATTTAGAGAATGAATCGATAAGAAAATTGAAGATAAGAGGAAGTAATTGACGAAAAAATCTCACTAGGAGATTGAAGCCTTAATCCCACGAAAACCTTGTCTCCGAAGCTGTCGAATAAACAACATGATATAGTTAAGGGTATGGAAAGTCTTTGTTTCGATTAGCGAAAGGAAACCGAGTGTTGATGCGAGAACTGACCTGAGAGAAGGCTGAGGCGGGTGTAAATACGAGGAACAGGTGATGGAATTGAGAGAGACCGCCATTGTTGCAAGTTACACACAGCAAACCAACCAGATTATGTAAAAGGGGCGCATTTTGTGTTAGGAACTTGGAAGATAAATACGGGTCGGATCTTTTGTTATAACCGAATAGGAATGGAGCACTAAACCAGCGTACCCGAATCCATTAAAACAAAATTGTAGGCCCAGTTACAATTTTTTTTTTCATCACCGAAAGCGTTATATCTGATTATTCGCTCGTCGGACATAAGAAAGAAAACCCTAGCTTGCTCCTGGTTTGCTGTCGCTCGTAAGTTCATTTGTTTTCTGAAATTTCAAATTCACTTAAAAGCTTTCTTGATTTGAAGTTTATTTTATTACATGATTAATTTACAGAGTACCAATCGTAAACATATATCTGTGAATGTTGTAACATTACTCGGAAATTTGTTGAGGATTGTGGATTGTTTTGTTGCACATCAGGTGTTCGATCAATTGTCTTATATTTGTCTGCGAGTCATGTTGAAAAGGATATGTTGTATGCCATATACACATGGAGGTGAGAAGTCGAAATTCTTGTTGCAGGCTATTACGAGGCATATTCACAGTGGTGAGGTACGTGGTGAATTTGCAAGATCAAAATGTTGTTGTTATCAAAATCGTGAAACATTTGGTTTTGATGTTGCAGGTTCGTTGTTCAGCAAGAAGCTTTTTTGGAGTAGAGGACTTTGTAGATGATGACAACAGTCGTCCATACACATACCAGAAGGAAAAGAAATCCAAGAATCCAAACAAGCACATATCATTCAAACAGCGTACAATAGCTTACATGGAGCCCTTCACTCTAGATGTATTCATCTCAAAGCGATTTGTTTCAGCCTCGTTGACACACAGGGTAACAAGCAGACAAGTTGCAGTTGCAGGGACAAACTCAAAAGACATCAAAGCAGCACTTCAATCTCGATCAGATATTCCTGCTTGTTTGGCGATTGGGAGGATTTTGTCTGAAAGGGCTAGAGAGGCTGATGTGTACACAGCTTCTTATACACCCAGAGAAAGGGATAAGTTTGAAGGTAAAATTAGAGCTGTTGTTCAATCCCTTATTGATAATGGTATTGACGTTAAAATTTATCTTGATTGATCAATAAAACAAACCATGATCCTCATTTCCCATTAGTATTATGCTTATGCTGAACTAAGCTCTGTTATGTAAAATATTGTTTCTTTGGTAAATATTTAGATATTATTTTTATTTAATGATCATCCATCCATCCATCCATGTATGTGGTGTAAAAGTTTACAAAAAATTGTTTTACAAAGTTGCAGTCATTAACTTGTTATTAATCATAATGTAATTGAGATCTTGATTAAAAGCTTAGTGTACTACTCAGAACGCAATCTCATCTCATCTCATGCCCTAATATAAAATCATCTTTGAAAACAGTTAAGCTATTTGCCATCAACTGTTGCATATTAAGGCATTTGAACTGCGTTATATCATTTAGGTATATTTCTAAACATGACAAATCAATACAACATCTAAACAAATTGTATACGTAGAAAACATTCATCAAACGTCTCATATTAAACAAAACCAAATCCTTAGCGTGTTTTGTTCATAGATTTCAAAGGAATTTGGAGGAATTGGAATATAAATTCTAGTACAAATTATGTTTGATTGATAAAATTAAAGCAATTGAAATTCTTAAAAGTCAATTAAATTTGTGTCTAAAGGAATTGGTCATTGTTTGGTTTTGCTAAAGAGTAAAGACAGATTTTAAATTTTATTCATTATGTTTTATGTTTTATTTTAAATATAAAAATGCTCACACATTTTTTTTTTAGTCATGATTAATCATATAAAAATATATTATCATCTCTTAC